GTTCATTCCGCTGTGGCGACCCTGGACTAAAACGGGACTAAGCCGACAAGAAAAAGAATGAATGAAAGTCTTGGATTTCGTTATAAAGGTCTTATTTTATTCATATATTTTTGCCTTTCCTAGGATTAACTTCAAACTGTAACAAAATTACCTGTTACTAGTGTAGGCATATTAAAAATTCAGCATAACGTTGAGTGCACCTCGCGCTTCACATCATAGCAGGAAGTGTGAAAGAGTGTGCATCCGTTACTATGATTACTAGGCAAGTGAAGTACAGAACAAGATAGTCACTAGCCTAGTTTGTCAGCAAAAATGGGAAAGTGTCGGTTTAATCCGCTTTGGCCAAGCAATCCAAATTACGTTTGGGTCAAGCCTGTGCCAGGAAATGACCGCAACGCCTACTGATGTTGGTGCTGGTGTGGTGGGAAATCTTTTAAAGCTAGCAACGCTGGGTGTTATGGCCCTGGACTCCTATATGAGGGCTGCCAAACACATCATGTGTAATAATGCTCGTCAATGCCCACCACCTATTGTCATGTTAGACGAGAGTCTCAATAAGATAACGAAAAGTAAGCACTTGGACCTTCATATTCGCTACTGGGTGGACAACCATGCTGTCGCGTATGTATTAAATATAACTGATAATTGATATAAAATGTTTAATTTAATTCAAGTAGCCCACTTGCACATAATTATTTTCTAGGGTTCAAACGTTATACAGATTTGACATTTTCCCCTCATACTTCTGTCAGAATGGATAAGCAGTTGACATTAAATTTTATTTGAAATGGTATTAAAAAGGTCTTTAAAAGTATTGAATTTCATTATCCCGGGGGTACCCTGAAAAACATCTGTAAATATTTTTTATGTATTTTACATATTTTTATTTTAAAAACTTTCACAAAAAAAAACTTACTTTGACCTAGCACAATTCATTCTATATACCATGTATGGGGGAAAAATAAAGAAAAAAAGCCCAATTAATTAATTGAGGAAGAAGAAAAGTGTATTCCATTAATGTAACTGAGATCTTGTTTAATTCTTGTGTTGAATTTGATAACTATTGTCTTCATTTTAAAGTCACTTTTGATAAAAGTGTTTGCAGTATAAGGTAGACCTGAATTCGGCACTATCATCCACTTGGACCATATTGGTCCTGGGACCCTGAATCATCTTACTGACTTTTTTATCTTCCTCAACAACAATCCCTTAGCAGTCAATCAGCATCTAGTTATCCCGTTCTAAAGTCATTTAATCGACCATCAACCCAAGTTCACAAGGTAATAGATGTTTATATCTACATCTATTGTTTTTCTTGATTTAAAATCAAGGATAAGTTAACACACATTTTCAATTCTTCCGAAATAAATAAAGACAATAGAGTGGCCTGATTCAGTGCTGGGGAAAGTTAATGCATTACAATATTGAGTTGCTCCCCAAAAAAGTAACCAGTTGTGTTACTTAGTTACTATTGATGGAGAGTAATATGTTATGGTACTTTTGAGTTACTTCTTGAGAACTTCCTGATGCTTCACATGCAAGCAGATTAATAAAAATTGAAAGCGATGTGTTTGCTACTTCTGTATTTGTGTCTTATTAGTTCAGTGAAATCAATCTCTATTGAAACCATCCCCTTTTCTTCCACGTGTTAAAAACAATGAGAATTCTTCCATCACAGAAATGTAAGGCTCTGCCATCTTGGTTTCTGTCTGTTTCTGTGGGGAGCTCATTCTCTCATTAAGTTTGATTTAGCATGATTACATTCATTTTAATTCAGCAAATTATTAGTAATTACTAGTTAGTAAAGTAACTCGTTACACTAAAAAAAGTAACTCAAATATCATTACTTAATCTTCTAAAGTTATCCATTACTTTACTCGTTATTTAGAAAAGTAATATTACGTAACTCACGTTACTTGTAATGCGTTACCCCCAACACTACATTTGAAGTCAGAATTATTCGCTCTCCTGAATTACTAGATCCCGTTTATTCCCCCAATTTCTGTTTAACGGAGAGAAGATTTTTTCAACACATTTCTAAACATAATAGTAATAATAACTCATTTAATAATTAACTAGGTTAATTAGGTTAACTAGGCAGGTTAAGGTAATTAGGCAAGTCATTGAATAACGATGGTTAGTTTTAGACCATTGGTCACCAAACTTGTTCCTGGAGGGCCGGTGTCCTGCAGATTTTAGCTCCAACCCTAATCAAACACACCTGAACAAGCTAATCAACCTCTTACTACGTAAACTTAAAACACCTAGGCATGTGTGTTAAGGGAAGTTGGAGCTAAACCCTGCAGGAACACCAGCCATGCAGGACCGAGATTGGTTCCCCTGTTAGACAATCGAACAAAATATAGCTTAAAGAGGCTTATATACCACCTCACATGATATCACTCAGGTCCTACTCTTAACATATAAATAAATCAAGCAAATTTTAGAATAAAGGCCCGCACTTAACACAAATTTAAAAATTTGTAAAAATTGGGCCCGAAAATGTAATACTTTGTCAGATGACGTTCATTACTACGTAATACTTTGTAAGGCCCTTAATTTAGGCTAATTTATTTCACTATCTTTTACAACCCTGCAGACACCCTTTGGTATAAAGTAGCTCTTCTGTGGTTATGATTTTACTCACAGACATCTGTGCTGTTCAGCCCCAACACAAAGTTTCAAAACTTGGTCACTTCTGGAAGAATGATTGGAGCTAAATGAAACTGCTATAAATATGTTTTGAAACATGAATTTTTGTTGAAACTGTCATGGAATTTTAACTAAAACATAAAGACAGTAGCTCACAGCTAATAGCATTTTATTTTATCACAACTCTGCTAGTGAGAGTGGTTGAACACAAGCCCAAGTAGACCATTTTGAGGCATGTAAACAAAAATACTAGTCCCCACATTTTTAATTTCTAGAGCTTCTGACAATCCAAAAAGGTCCACATATTGAGAAATAAGGCTGTAGCTGTTTTAACATTAAGTTATGATTGTGTCTTGTTACAGTATGAAATAGTTTGATAACAAGCAGGAAATGTTCATGGGCTAATTAGACATATGCTATAGGCCACATTGAAATGGACTACAGCAAATGAGTCTTAAAGGGGTGGGACATGACAGACACTTGAGAATACGATTTGATGAACAAACTAAAATATAAGGTGATGTCAAAAAATGTTGATTCATTTAGGTAGAAGCGACAGACTGCAGGCATGGAAGTTTATATCTTCTTAATGCAAAAATTTGTCAGTTTCGGACCACACTATCTTATAGATTTAGTCCTTAGAACTAACATATAAATACAAACATCTAAAAAAACTTTATTTTGATTACTATAATACTGAAAAATAAGCATGATGGTAGAGTCAATGTCCTTGCCATCCAGAATAAATGAAAACCTCCTATTGAGTAAAGGGAAGTGGAAACATTTCAGGTGAAGGATAATCCACTTACATCCAAGACAAGTGTTATGATCTTCACAGCATGGGTTTTATATACACATTGCTGCTAATTGGTCTAACATTTTTGACAAACCTACTAATCAAGAGACTAAATTAACGGTGAATGACTGGGTTTTTCTGCACAATGAGTTTCTGTGACAGTGTTACTCATGTTACTTACTGTAGTTGAGGTAATAGTTGCAATGATTGACATGATTTGTATTGTTTTTAATGTATTTCAGTGTTCCCTCTAGAATTTTTTTCCAGCTGTGGTGGCAGGGCTTTTTTTTTACACAGATCTACCAACTACCTGGCGTTATTTCAATGACAAATGTCGTAAGCGCATTTATGTAATACCCTACGAGCAAAATAAATCAGAATCAGTTTTATTGCCAAGTGTGCTTAACACACACAAGGAATCTGTTTTGGCTACAGAAGCTTCCAGTGTACATAAAGTGACAACACAAAATAAATATGAGGAAAAAAAGATGATACACATTGAACAGAGATGCAGTTAGTCAAGACAAGAAATCTGGATGTTGAATTGTATGTAGAGATTTGTTATAAATACACAGGTTATACCGTGCTGTGTACAAATGTGAATGTAGAAAGTATTGCATTGTATATTAATATAAGGTGCTTTGTACAAGTGCATGTGAGAAAGTATTGAACATATTTATTGCACAGTTGGGGGATATTTAACTGTGCAATAAATATGTGCAAAACTCTCTCATAAATGCTGCTGAAGTGCGATTTATTGCGTTTATGTAACAAGTATGTCTCCAATATTTATTAAATTTGCTAGGAAAATTTATGAATGTCTCCAATAGACCTACAGAGCCGTATTAATGCATCCTGAAGTAAAGTGAAACGGTAATACGTCGTGTTTGCTGGCCTCACACATCATGCATTTGTCAGTCAGCCAGTTAGTCAAAGAGGGCACGTAACCTTAAAGGGTTAAACAATTAACGCACAGCACTACTACGGTTACTGAAAAGTTTGCGCTGGTACAATTCACTTACCCCAAAAACGTTTTGGTGCGATTATCACCTGCTATTAAAAAACACGACTGAATGTTTTGAATTGAAAGCTTTAATGTAGCCGTGGCGAAATCAATTTTGGCCAGGCGCCCCGCCATGGAAGAATGAAAGTAGCGGAACCCATGTATTTATTTATGTAGAATTTAAATAGCAGACTAACAAATGTTGTTCATGGTGCTACACGCTATCTTTGCATTAAACCCATTGCCATGAGTAAGATGGTTTTAGAATGTAATATAATTAATCCAAATCTAAAATATAAAAGTTAATTAAAATATTTCAAGATAAAATCTTTACACTTTTAATTTTGCACACTTAAAATATCAATGCAGTTAGTTGCTGTTAATTTATCAAGTTTAGGGTGTTCTTATGTGAACCGTTTTGTAATACCAATGTTTATAATGTTGTAAATGCATTTAAAGACATCAATATTTGAGTACAATTTTTTTTAAACTTGCCTCCGTAAGTATATAGTAAGAGTATGCAGACATAAAGAAAGAGGAGACACCAACTGACTGAAGATGACAAGCTTTATTTCAGTTAGATTCAGAATCAGCATCTGCCTTGTCTTTGTCTTCATAATCAAATCTGTGATGGCACCTCACGTCCAGCAGCTCCAGTGATCCTCCTGTTTTCTGATGAGCTGCATCGCACTGGTGTCATTCAGAAATCCTCAACACACTTTCACTTTCAGTTTACCTCATCGGCTCCATTGACTTTCAGTGACCCTCACCAGTCCTTAGTTTCATTTGGTGATCCTCACCAACGTCTGTGCCTTCCGGTGACCCTCACCAGCCCCATTATTTACTGGTGACCCTCACCATCTCTCAGCCTCTCACTGGCTGTGGAGACTTCATTGAACATCACCAGCCCCAGAGGGTTCCACTTTGCACCTGCCATTGCGGGAGCCAAATTTTTGCCAAAAATGCAAAAATCGTCTTCTCAGACGCCCAAGTCGCCCAATTTTTGCTGGCTTTGAGCTTTAAAAAAACAAACACATCACAAACATGAATATGGATGACTAGCTTTCCACAATACATCAATATAAACCTATGTGTGTACATTTGTGGGCGTTTATATGAGCTATGTGAGCAGTATCATTCTGTAGTGTGTGTTTGTGTTCAGAATCTGTACCTAGTCTCTGCGAGAAGCACCTGCTGGACACACTTTTTAGGAGTGAAGTCCTCTTCTGCCTCAGACACAGCGTCTCCCTCCTCAAACACACAAAGTAAACCAAACCAAAAAAATGATCTATTATCGTTTTCATCAGGTTACCACCATTCTAATTCAATTTAAAAACTCATCACACACACAAATGGTATGATTTGAAACAAACACAAACTCATAAACTCACTGCTGTGTTGATGGCAGATGCCTGAGGGTAAATATTGGGCAGTAGATGTCTGAGGTTGTCCAGCATGTACTCTGTGAAGCTGATACACATCTCCTCTTCCTCAAGCTTTGTGGGGCCTTGAGGAACACTACACACACACACACACACACACACATAACAAAACCATATTACATTAATAAATGTACCAGACACCCATCTGTCTTTTATGACTGACAGCTCCATTTCACACAGACTTTAAGTTATGTCGAAACATACAGACACCATCAGCTAAATACAGAAATACAAACACTTACTGAAAGATGATCGGCCCAAATTCTATGGACAGGTTGGTGGTGGTCATGCGGTTGGCATGACTCGCAGCAGCCACTCGGGACAGGAAGAAAGTTAGAAGGCAGAGGATATTGTAATTTTCTTCTGGAATGGTATCCAGTATTTTCTTCACTGCCTTGTGACGTTTGCTAAGTCTGAACACTGCAAGAAAAAATATTTCCAGAGTTCAACAATTTGATAAATCTATTTAGATGTGGAGCAAGCTCACAAAACCTTCACTTACTCTTGAACACTTTCAGCAGTTCAATCATGAATGGCTCTGGAATGAGACCACCGGGAAGAGTCCTGAGGAAATGTTTCAAGACGTAAGCTGAGGAATGAACATCCTCAACGTTCATCTTTGGGAAGCCTCCGCGATCAAAACATTTCCTCAGTTCATACTGCCGCAATACTGTCCCACCAACCCTGAACAGGCCACAGGTACTGAGGCCTAAACACATATTTTACAAATACAGAGTCAGATACGTGACAAACACTCAGAAACACAGTCAAACACCAAGCTAGCACTCACCATGCTTCTCGAGGAAGCCCACCAGGTGTGTTAAGGCCAGAGGAAGCCCCTGTCTCATCAGTCCGGTCTTCCTCAGATGTGACAAGGGAACACCAAACACCTTACTCGGTGCTTCCTCCTGCACAAGAAAGAGGGTTAAGAATGAAAAAACGAGTAAGTGAGTGGACATACAGCTGTCTAATAAATGTGAATTATAAGTAACTATGAGTGTACCTTTAAACATGAAATGTATTACATTTCTCCACACACACACATTAAATTCTTTACTAACAGTAAGCATTTGTGAATTACTAGTATGCCTTATATTGTGTGAATATTTATACTTACACACACGGATAAAACTCCCATTATGGGGGTTTTGCCGAGATAAACCAAATCCAAGGGGTGTCCAAAGCCGTCAGTCGAAGTCAGAAGAAAAGGGTCGTTACCGGGAAATCCAAAACCGTGTCCGAATGAGTCAAAGTGAAATCGCAAATCCAAAGCCGTAGTCGAAGTCCGAAAAAAGTGTCAAAACCGTGAATCAATAACCGTAAATCAATCGAGAAATCGCAAAATGCACAACAACCACAAACCACAACCAACGCCAGAACACCCAACAAAGAATTCTAATAAAGTTCGTGCATATAAACCTGCCGCACGCAGCTCTCACGTCATTAGAACGCGTTCTATTTAGAATCCGAGGATTAGCTTCTCGAAAATGTCCACCTCAAAATCATTAATATGTGTATTAACATTAATAAACTGCACATACATGTATGATAAACTGAAGCGCGTTTTACAACGACGAAACGCGCTTTAACTCAAGATACATGCTATTTAATTTGTTCAGCCCTACAATTGTACTGTTTAATTGCATTAAACACAGCTTAGAAGGCTGAACAAATTATAAAACTAAACAGAATATAATAATTTAATATTATGTATATTTTTTCAATAATACTTTATATATAACGACATAATAATTAAATTTAAAAATATATTAACACCACGTTACCCGTTAAACACAAATGTGTTTTAGCACACTTTAAGGTAAATGGAATTTAGTGTCTTATCCGTAAGTATATTTTAGAAAAATATATAGGCCTATTTAAAAATAATTACAGTATATTTAAACTTTATTTTAAAAACCGCAAACAGCTTAAACACGCTACAGTTCAAAGTATTAAAATAAACAGAGTTTTGTAACAATATTTTAAAGTTGTAAAACATTTAAGTTAAGTTATAAATATTTAAATATTTTCAAGGTTAAGCCACTTCATTAAACTATTTTCAGATAGTGAAATACGATTAGACAAAAATGGTCCTGCCACGATCATCAAACCATATTGACAGTCGATTTTTGTGGACAGTATCCGAACATTAGTTTTGTCTTTAGTTATTATTTTATATCCATACAATTTTTAAAAAGTTAAAACTGTCAAGGCTAACGTTAACATAACGTTAGCCTTAGCCAACAACATTTATTAGCTAGCTTACAAAGCACATTGAACATTACCGATAATAGAGCGATCCATCAGATCCTGTAGGTCGATAATGTTGCGTTAAGAAATCATGTTGTCAGATCAAGTTATCAGAGTAGCACGGAACATTACCCGATTATAGCTCCAATGTCCTCACGAAACTCCCGCTCAGAATTAATCACACCTAATCTTAACGATACGCCCCGGGCCCCCGTGTGGCTACACTACAGTGCAATGCATTTTGGGTCCCATTGATTTCTATATGAATCATAAACTGATTATATATATATTACACTATAATAATCTTTAAGTGGTTACACTACAAATTAAGAAGAACATACGGACAATTTGTCTCGGGGCAGTTTGTTGATACCCTATCACTTAATAAAGGTAAAGTTGATTTTATATTCGGACATTCTCCTGAATAATATTATTTCATAAAAGTATTATTTGCAAACTAGCGAAATCATATTAGCAGCCAATGACTATCAAAGTACAACTTTGTTCACAGTCAAATAAAGTGTTAATGTTAAGTACACTTGCAGGTTATTTCAGACCGAAAATTCAAAGTGCCGTGGTAAACAATATACGGAGAGTGTCATAAGTTGTCACTGAATGAATGTGTGAATATAAGACCAACTTTACCTTAATAATTTACACTTTCACGTTTCATTTTTAGCATTCAGCCTCCACATAATTAACCATATCTGTTTTTGCTGAAATCATTGCTTCAACCAAAATCGAGTGATGTGCGATTCAGCATAGCATGAACTTACCTGATATGAAATGAGAACTGCAGTCCATTTCTAAATAGGTCACTTCATTCAGCTCCCTTTTAATCAGAGATGTCTGCGGTTAGCATTAAAACAGTGGTGTAAAATTTAAGTTTTCTATTTTTGAACTTTCGAATTTGGCGTCCTACTGCACAACACGACATGTTTGATATTACCACCGGTCTCTTACTCTTTTTTTTATTAACTTTTATTTAGAAAGAAATGTACAAAATAAATCAGAAAGTAATCTGTAGGAGACTGGAATACAAGTACATACAATTACAAGGTGATAGGAACAATTACAAAGTGACAAGAACAATAAGTAACAAATAAGAAATAGAAAGTAAAAAAGAGGAAAAAATAAAAAAAGGGGAAGTACAAAATTAAATAAAAAACAGAAAGCATTTAAGACTAACTTATGAAAGGTATATTTCCATATGTTTCTATTCACTTGCAGAATTTTTTTTTTTTGTTGTTGTTCGATAAACGTATAGCTTTAGGAATTAATTTTAATGAAAAAAAATAAGCAAATGGGAGAGAATTTAAGCCATTTTTGTTTGTGGATAAAGAATTTTTGCATATAATATAAAAAAGTTTCTATAATTTTTATATTATTGCATATAATATAAATAAGTATATATATTCTTCATTTTTATTATTGGGACTAGAATAATAACAAAAAATATTTTTAAATTTAAATATTTGTTTTGTTGTGATTTATTCAAATAATTATATCAAATCTGACAGAAAAAAACAAGAAATTGCAGTATCAGTAAATGTTGAGATAAATGCATTTTCCGAGTATATTTTGTGCAGAATTTTAAAATAGGTTGCCTTTGTTTGGGATTACATATTTATATGGGAGAGGCATGTTCTTTTCCAATCAATATGTACTATTAACGCTGACCAATATGATTTCCCTCTTGGAGCAATTAGATTTTTTTTTTATTGGAGAATTCGAAGAATAAGTTTGTTGTTGCATTTTTTAACATATACACTAATACCTTCTAATAATAAGGGGGGTTCTATGGTTCTTTTTTTATTTATGAAATATGAATTTTGGTAGATGTATTAATTCTTTTAAAAATAGCATTTACAACAACGTTAAATTTCTTAAATGGGATAGGAAATTTATGATTTTTCATAAATTGTTCATAAGTTTACAAGTTACCCAAGTCATCAAATAAGGAAAATAAATGGAACATAGCTGTCATAGAAATTAGAAAAAAATAATAATAAGGATTTTTTCTTATTACCACTTCTTGCAACCTTTGTGCCATGTGTCCAGTGTCCTGCAGATTTTAGCTATCTATATATATATATATATATATATATATACTCTTACAAAATCAATAACACAGTGATAGGAAATGTACTACACTTTATATATGCTCATTTATTAATAAAAATCAATTTACTGATCTACTTTATCTCAGTTCCGTGAAAATTACACCATGTACTTGACTGGGTGCTGACAGCCAGTGTAAAACATGATTTGCATACCAGGTCAAATTAATAAAAATTGATTATTTATGTACATTACTTCGAAGAAAATAATGAAAGGCTAGTGGTGATGATTTTATGGCTTTCTAGCTGGTTTTAGCAAGCAGCTAATTCTGTTAAAATAAATGTACTGCCCTAACCATTCTCTTACAAGCCTTTAAATATATGCAACATCAACATCAAAAATGTTTGTATTCCAACCTATATTAATATTGTACTACTAGCTTTTTCACCTTGTTACAAACTTGTCTAATTGAAGCAGAAAATATTGACATAAATGATGTTGTTCAATGTTTTTGCACAAAGCATGTCCACAGAACAAAGCTATTATTGGAGTTTGAACACATTTCCACACTTAGGTTTCTGCTACCAGTTCCACAATTCCAGGCAACAAAGAAATGACAGGACAACAACATTGATCAAATAATCTTTAACAAAAAACTACATTGGGAAAAATGTCAAATGTCTTGCATCTTATCTCCCCAATTAAATAGTACAATAAAATAACTCTCCCTAAATCAGGACCAGTTGTTGGTGCTTGACATATAAGGCATCCACATCAATATACTTTCATCATTTCTGAAGATACAAAAACTGCCATCGTGATTCTCAGATATTATTCTCATATATTATTTTCTCCAAAGCTGTATCAGACGAGCTCTTGATAGTGCAAACCTGCTCCCATTGCTTGGGCATTCAAATAAATAGTGTAACACGGAAGGCATTTTCTTTCCAATTCTAGTTCTACCTGAAACCTTCCCAACCGCATAAGATCAAAGTCAAAGAGAAGCAAACTAGAACTTTTTCCGCTTTTTCATTGCTAGTTTCCTTTTCATCTCCTCTTCTTCCAATCTCATTTCTTCTTCATCCTCCTTGATACCGAGGCGTAAACTGAAGCAGAAAAAAGCAGATGTTAAAGAACGTAACTTCAATTGGTCCTCTGCGTAATGGGAGAGAAGTGTTTTATTTCAGCATATGATCACAATCATTTTCTCTTCTTGGCATTCTTCCGCTGCATCTCTTCAAGCTCTCTTCTTTCCTCCTCCTCGTCCTCAAGCACTGCCATTCGCAGGCTAATCAGACAATCAGGGGTAAAAAAAAAAACAAACAAACAAACAAAAAAAGCACAAAACACACAAACAAACAAAAAAAAGGCAACAGTGCGATGATTTGGAGGAAATTAAGAACCAAATCAGAGCTGCTATTTTTTCATTTGAAGATCGCAGCTGAATTTACTGTCTTACCTCCTCGCTTCCTCTTTTTGCTGTTCTTTCCAGCTGCTCTCCATAAACTTCAATGCATAGTCACTTTCATCTTTATATCTGTTCAAATAAAAGACTGTTACAACAATGCACACAAATAATCCTTGTATTTTAATGTATGGTATGCAAAAACGCAGTCTCACAGCAATAGGTAACTTTTTAATTTACTGGTTGAAGCATATTCATTTGTACAATCTCATTTAATACAATTTGCTTAACCCCCAATGAGGAGTGGGGTGAGGGGTGTGCCCCCTTTTAAAAAGTCATACATTTTCAAAGGAATACATCTGTATGAATTTGCAACTTCCCTGACTGCGTAAAATAGTTGGGCTCCTAGTGAGATGGATATATCTATTATCTATCTATACACAGAAATGCTCAACAGAAATGACTGGTTGGCCGTGCAGGTCATCGGTTGACCATTCTTTACTGCATAGCTTCACAGCCATTAACAGCGCTCAAATGTTAGCGGGAAATGGACGTTTTAAAATGCTGGTCACACTAGGATTTGAGCACTGTGATTGGCTGTGAAGCTATGCAGTGAAGAATGGCGCTGCGAAAAGGGGCGGGATTAAAAAAGACGTTTAACATTTCTGTCCTGAGAGGTCATGCTTTGATCTTTGATTGGTCTCACGCAGTCACATGATGCGATTTCACAGGTCACCAAGCTTGAAATTTGCAATGCAGCGAACCGTGAAACTTGTCGCACAAGCTTGTGTTATCGCTCTGTTGCATTCACGTGCATATGAATGGAAGTCTGTGGGGAGAAAAGTGCAGTTTGACCGTAGCTTTACACTAATAATAATAATTTTTTATATATATATATATATATTTTTTTTTTTTATACAACAGTTCTGTCTGGCTCTTGAATATGATTGGCTGATAGCCGTGACATACTGTGCCAGTAGCAGCACACAAAGGCCTCTTTATCTTTGTGTATTACTACGCCCACATAGAAGCAGAGGACGCTCTACAGTTTGACAAATATTCCTGCTGTTGGGCAACAATGTACTTTTGAGGCTATTTTAGTCGAGAATGTAGCTGTTTAGATTGCAACTATGCAGTTGATTTATAAGGATAGTGGCTATTTTAAATTATTTATAATTTCTGAGAGACAGCGTGTCAGTCGCCATTAGTCAAAGACAATTGACGTTGTCTATGCACAAGATGGCGCCAGGACCGCATATTAAACTTCAGACTTCAGGCCTAAATCTTTTATTTTGACATTTGAAGAATGAATCCATGATTAGAATAATATAATATCTGCATAATATGTGGCAATAAATAGTTGTAACCTTGCACAGGTCAAAACACATTGCGATCAAATACTTCTGTAAGACTCACTTGTTTTTGTCATAGCCAAATATTTCCCTGATGTGTTTTGAAATTTCATCTTGGTCTTCGCCTTCATCGTCAATGAAGTCATCCATCTCAGAGTCGTACTCTTCTTCGTCCTCGAACTTCCGTTTGTAACTGGATGTTATAGGAGGCAATGCTGGTCCTTTAAAAAAATACAAATAAATAAATAAAAGAGGCATCTAGAAAACATGTCAGTAGTATACACTAGAAAATAATGCCATTACTAATTGTATTTCTAAGACAAACAGACTTGTTAATAAAACCGAATGTGTGTGGAAATCACTCAAAGTTGTTCTTATGCAAATTCAATGCAACAGTTCAGTTCTATTCCAAAATGTTTGAGCTTAACCACTTACAAATGTAATTAAATATATTTAACACTCTAACATGGGACATGTTGTTGAAGTAAATTAGACAGAAGGGATTTAAAAACTTCGTCATCTATAATTGAAAACTTGCTTTGAGTGTGTAATATTCATGTAAAAAAATGTATGATCTCTTATGTGTACTGTTTCTAACACAAACCCATAGTATTGTGTGGTTTTGCCGCTATCAGAGCAGAAACGAAAGCTCTCATCACTTTCTGCTGCCTTCTTTCATGTTTATGAACTGCAATAAATAATTTGTGGCTTCACAAAAAAACAGAATGCTTACAAAAATAAACACTTCCCCTCTTTGAACATATCACTTATGAGATGCAGGAAAAAAAATGTCTAAAATCAGTTTTTTGTGTGTGACTTCTGACTGTAATTTCAGTCACCAAAAACATGTTTTTATTATTATGTTAAGTATTAATGTTAAGTACTTTAACTTGCAATATTCACCAAAAATTAAGTACATCAAATCCTTTTTTTAAGCATAACATCAGGTGTAAACAAAAGGCCTTAGTGATAAGTTTATAAAGTTAGAAATTGAAAATTTTGTATAATATTTGAATAAGAAAGATGCCCTGTCATTTAACAAGATCATTTTTACATTGTAAAGTTGGGAGAAAAAAAATATGAACTACTAACTTTTTTCCTACTAAAGGAATTTGTTGAGTCTGTAGCTCTCTTAAAATTAAAAGTTCATGAAACACTTCTCATATTACTTACCAGAAGGTTTGACCAGTATTCTGTGGCCCGAGGGACCAATCACAGTCCTGGGACCTTGTGGCCCTGGGGGTCTTTGGACCATCCCAGGTCTCGGTGTAATGTTCTTTGTTGAAATGGTCTCTGAAACAACAGTGCACTGGGATCTTCCGGGGCCAGAGCTCATCCTGTTCATCTGTGACCCAGAAACACCACGTTCCATTCGCTTTGGTCCATTTAAAGAAGCTCTGGAGCTTCCTGGAAACTGCTGACTTTGCAAATTACCACCTGGTCTCGGTTGCTTCGAGGGGTCACCAGTGAAGGGTCGTACCACTCCACTGCCACCAGGCCGAGGTGGAGCATTGCTCCCAGGTCGCGATAACTTCCCTGGATTTGCTGGTTTCTGAGAAGGTCCACTGGTACTGAAATTACTAGGTCTTCCATGAGCTGAGTTTTTATGTGGTCCTTGACCTGGTCTAGCTGCACCAGGAGGACAACTTCCCGAAATACTTGATTTCGCCTGAGTTAATGAGACATTCCCCTTCCTTGGGGTAAGGTCACTTGAGGTTGCGGGCCTTTGGCCTTGTGAGGGTCTGGGTGGTGCTTGTTTCGCTTGAAACGATGCGCCATTTTTCATGGCAGATTTACTATTTAAGGCACCTGAGGAGCCTGAGTTGCTTCTGTCTCCATGGAGTTTGGCAGAAGTTGGAGTTCTTTCACTAGATGCTTGAAGCTTTGGCTTTTTGCTGGTACTGCTTGACTGGTGCTTCTCCTCTGATGGCCTTGGAAATCTTCCATTTTTGCCATCTCTGTCTACATGCTTCTTTTGAGGATTTGAGCTGGTTTGAGATCGGCTGTCTTTCTGTCCTGAATTCTTGTCTGATCTGACATCCTTCCCTTTATCCAGTTTCTTAACTCTGCGCTCCATTTCAAGTTCGCGGATCTCCTCTGCTGTTCTAAGCCTCTCTTCTGTCTTCTTCACTACTTTTAATTCCACAGGTTCAAACTGCTTTTTTTCTGCAAGTTTTAGTAGATCTGCAAAGTTCATTGACGACGAGGCGGGCCTAGCTGGAGCACTGAGTTTTTTTGGTTTGTTTTCTACTCGGTTGGAGTACTCAGGCCGAGATATAGCCTGAGGTTTAACAGGCCTACTTGGTTCAGATTCAGAATCTGTGCCCTCATAGTCAAAATTATCCTCATCATCATAATCACCACCTTCATATTTTGTTGAACTCTGCTGCTCTTCCGTACTGCTTCCTTTTGACTGTCTCTTTTTAGGCTGGTCTATGACAGGGATGCCGTTGTAACCTCTGAAATTGTCCTTGGTTCGTGATGCCATTGCTCGTGCCTTCCTATCTGATTTCAGCTCCACTCTTTTAGCCAGCAGATCTTCTTTTGCTTTCTTATCCTGTTGTTCTAAGGATCACATAGAATGTTTTTTTTACTTTATCAAAAACAGAAAACAAATTATGACATCAACAGCAATAGATGACAATGAATGCCAGTGCAGGAATTCTTAAATACACCATATAGATATGACCTTAATAGACAGGAGTAAAAAAAAACAAAAAAAATCATGCAAGTTTAACTTTCTGGCATATGTGCCATTGCTGTTTTTCAAATTAAAATGTGTTGTTATTATTATTATTATTATTATACCTTATAGGTTACAAAAAAAGGTCCCATGAAGTGTGTTGAAATGTACATCTTTATTCGTTGTTAAAATAATTTCAACTGAAACAAAGACTGCTTCCAAAATCACATACTTTTTTTTTTATACTATATAGTACGCTAAAAACAGTATGAGAGCCGAGTGGTAAGTGCGAATTCATAGAATTCGAAAAACAGTTTGTGAGAAGTAGTCAGATGACCTACTAATTCCGGCGAGATTCTGAAGTGCGCATCGGATGGACACTACGTTATCCCACGATGCTCCGAGAGATAATTCATGAATGAGAGAGAAGCGATGCAACTCACACAAGTAGGTCACATGATCATGACAAAATGTTGGATGCAGCACATCTAAGTTCCACTCATACTGCTTACATTTCATACTGTATAGAACTTACTTTTCAAACGGCCAAGTAGCACATTTTAATTCAAGCGTAGTATCTACCGAGTAGGCTGTTTCGAACGCAGCTAAAGACAATCACTTTGGGCCGTGGAGTAGCTCCTCCCCTTTTTAAAAAGTAGCCAATAACGTTTTGTTTTTAATCACTGCTCTACCAGAGTGAGAGGTGTTTAGCTCAAGCGCATCAAATGAAAGCAAATGAGAAGCTGACATGGCTGGACATGTCAGACACTATAGAGCATTTGATTGGTCAAGCTTTAATGACAAACTGAATCATGATGTAAAATAAAAAAAAAACGTTGAACCGTTTAGACAGAAATGACAAACTGCAAGCTTTACTTAATTATACTGGTTTTATATGCCCTACTGCAAATGTTGTCACTATTTTGGAGCACACCAACATATAAATGTTCTTTCAAACAGACTGAAACTAACATCTACATTTTTTTTATTTTAATTTTAATGGGACTTTTAAACATACAATTAAAATGTTCATTTATTGGCAAAATAATTTAGATTTAAAAGGGCACCTATGATGAAAATCAACTTTTGTAATCTGTTTGGACCAAACTGTGTGTAGGTATATTGTGTCCACTGTCATACTGGAGTGATATAAACACATTAGGTCCTTTTTTTTAAGTGCCTGATGTTAAAGTAGAAACTAAATCCCTGTAATTTTAAGGCCCATCGCGATGTGACAGAAGTACGGTTTTCTCCAACAACCGAAATGATTGAAAGGCACCATGTTTCTATAATAACATGTATACACGTCCACAAAACTCTTTTTTGCAAATAAAGTGGGATTAAGATATTTTTTAATAACTCTTTGTGATTATCATACGTCTAAAACATTTTTAAAGCAAAGAATGTTTGTAATAAAGACAGTAAAATCACTGTGTTATTCTTAAAAACTATAACCACCACGGCTACATAGTATCAGTAAAGGCGCACATAAAAGAGAGTGTGTGTGTGTGTGTGTGTGTGTGTGTGTGTGTGTGTGTGTGTGTGTGTGTGTGTGTGTGTGTGTGTGTGTGTGTGTGTGTGTGTGTGTGTGTGTGTGTGTGTGTGTGTGTGTGTGTGTGTGTGTGTGTGTGTGTGTGTGTGTGTGCGCGCGCGTGTACTGCAAACAGCATTTGCGTGTGATTCACCATTTCAGAAAGACTTCTCTACCATTTATACACAAAATAAACTTTACCATTTATACACAAAATAAAATTACAAAGTATTTTTGACTAATGAGCTTTATTTCAGCTTCATCGGAGTCTGTCTCTGTCACTGTGCTGTTTATCTGACGTAATGCATGATGTAATGCCGTATAACGTAACGTAATAACGTATTAAACACTGCAAGCAGAGCATGAGCAGGGCATATTGAGAGCAGAAGCAGCACGCAGATGTTTGCTTTTCACACCGACTGCATCTGTAGCACGCAGATTATCGGCAGCTGTTGCACAGATCAATCCATCTCTGTCTATTCTATCTAGTTACCCATCTATCTATAAATACACTTTTTTTTTTTACTTTTCAAATGCACCAAGAGTTGTGGCAACTTCCTCCTATGCCGTTTTCTTAACCTGCAAGTCTTTATATTACGAATTATATAGATCCTAAAGAGCTGTATGCTTCTCACACTCTAAGGAGTGTCATTCATGTCATTTATTCATGTCATTTACATCACACTTGGTCAGAAGACAATTGTACACACTGCATGACTATCTGGGCTAGCGTTCCGTCTGTGCTTTGTTCACACTGCAAGACTTTAAAATAGAAAGAATCACCAACAACTGTCAAAACTACGTTTCACAACCAAACATACATGAGAAGGCATGGAAACAGCGCGAGGTCACATAAGTATATATATAAATATATTGTTATTAACTACATAATGAGAAAGAAGCCTTTAGTGGGATAGAAAATGTACTTATTTTGCTCACCTGGCATTAAAACGAGCAAATTCTCTTAAACTTTTTTATTTTTTGTTTTGCATATTGCTTAGATGACACGTCAAACACAGGGTGCTCCTGCCAAACTTCCAGGAGTTTTTCCTCAATTTCTAGGGGCCAAATAAACTGAAAATGAGTGTTTTTAACTTCTCCCCCAACCTCCCGCTGGCCTGCAGGTACCCAGCACTGAATGCTGCCCTCTCATTGGCTGTAGGTGATCGGTGATGCTATTTTTAATCAGAGCACATTTCACATGGTATGATTTGAATCACAGACAGCTCCAAATATTTAGCTTTCCAAATATCTCACGGGCGTCGGCGACTCATCTACGATTTTCTTAGATTACATCTTTGATAGTTTAACTGTGTGATTGTTACTCTTGTGAACAAGCACCAATTTGCCTGTGATTTTAGGCATTTCTCAAAACGTGTAGCCAAGTCAAAAAATGGGGGCTAAAATAATGCAGTCTGAACTTGGCATTACTAAGAAAAACTAATACTTAATAATAATAATAATATATAATAACTAAATAATAATAATAATAATAAATAATAATAATAACTAAAATTGTTTAATATTTGGTTTTGTAGTTCAGGCCCAAATAAATATTTGTTTTTAATCCTTGAAGTTCATTTGACTGAATACATAAAAATCCGCGGATATTATCGATGCATTTTTTGGGTACTTCTTGCAGTCATTCAGTGTGTTTTTGGTCATCATAAATGCACTGTTACTTTAATTGAGCATGAGCATGAGCAGCGCGGCAAAAATAGACACCATGGCAAAACTATCGCAGCACTACAGCTTCATTGACGCTCACGCTTCGCACTGCATTCTGCGTGCAGTATGAAAAGTTCTAATCTATTAACATGGACGCCGGAATTAAACACGCCCTGCTCACGCTTGCGTTGTGATAAGCAGACACACATGCTGCGGGCGGGGAGAAGTAATTAGTTTTTTTTTTAAAGCCGCAGGCTATAAAAACAGCGACAGTATACTAAGGCCCAATCCCAATTCTACCCCTTAGCCTTTCCCCTTATCCCTACCCCTCGTTTTGCGCGTGCACGCCAAGGGGTAGGGGTGTCTCAATTCTCTTTAGCTTGAAGGCGTAGGGCTAAGGGGAAGGGGTGAATAGCCCTTCCAACAAAGATTTTTCAGGACCACACTTGAAACCAGAATGCAAAAGCCACAGCGGCAGTATTGCTGAACACGGAAGTGAGGAGATCCACAAATTAGTATTTTTTTGTCATTATTACGAAATTTTATGACAAACACATGTTTTAATAAATTCATAAACGCGTTCATGTTTTACCGTCATGCTTTTAAAAAAAAAAAAAAAAAAAAAAAAACGCAAAATTTTGCGATCTATAATCCCTATTAAATAACTCCTGTAAAGCAGTCCTACAGTATTCTGAAACTCGAATACCTTGTCAGTAGTGTCTAGTGGCTGTCAATGGGCTTTTTAACAGTGTCTGCTATAATGTTAATGTTGTTTTTGGTGCGTTTACATTGATGAATACGGCCACTGTGTGAATACACAAAACAGTTACGATCTTATTACCACATTAGATCGTTATAATAACATAATATATGCCTTCAGTGATCTGCTGAAGATAAATACCAAAAAATAACACAACTGGAATCACTACCGCAGTTGCCATCGTCTGATCTCACAGGGGAAGCAGGAGATGGCAAGCACATATGATGACGTGTACAGGTGCTGTAGTGCTGTCCCAATTCTTAGGGGTACATTTTGAAGCCCTTGCACTTAACCCTCGGTTGTAAGGGCCAAGGGGAAGGGGTAGGAGTACAAAAATAGAATTGGGATTGGGCCTAAATTTTTTAATAAATAATCTGATGGGTATTTTGAGCTGAAACTTTACAGAAACAATCTGGAGACACTAAAGGCTTATCTTACATCTTGTTAAAGGGGTAAAATAAGTGCCCTTTAAAATTCGCTATATTTAACTTATTGACTGTATACTAATATTGACGTCAAGTCAGTTTTATATTCGCACATTCCTTCATTTAACGTTCTCTATGGTGTTTACCTATACTACTTTGAATATTAGGTCTGAATTAGCATGCAAGTATGACTTCAAAACAACATTAGCACTATTTAAATCACTGTTAACAATGTTGTACTTTGATAATCATTGGTTGCTAATATGATTTACCTAGTAAGAAATTGCAAATAATATTTTTCTGAAATTGTATTATTAACGAGAAAGTCTGACTGTGTGAATATAAAACCAACTTTACCTTAGTTACATGATTACAGTAGCTTTACAGGTGCTAACATACTATGAGCATGGCATAAAATGCAGGCTTTTTTAACAGAGGCTTTTATTATATTCGTTATTTTAAATCTAAACTGATTTCCTTGTGTAAAAAAAGAAAAAAAAAACTCTACTAATTTACAACATGCAATAACATAGAAGATAATGTTAAACACAATTAAACAAGATTTGAAATAAAAAAAATACCTTTATTCTTTTGCTCCACAGCCTTTTTTTTCAAGAAGGCCTGCACAGCAGCCGAATTAACTCCTCCCACTTTGAGATCTTTCTTGGGTGGGCCAGTTTTTAAGCTATACCTTTTCTAAAAGAGCAAAACAGGATTAAAAAGTACGGCAATGTAAACATGCATATTTCTATTTATGAAGTCACAATAAAGTACTTTTGATATTAGGTTTCTATATTAGCCTAAACATGCAACATGTACAAGTTCCATGAGTAACATGTTGCAATGTTTTTATATTTTACATAATTTTCTACTTGTACATACCGGTAAGCTGCTCAGCCCTTGATTTTGGGACGCGATAGACAGCACACTGTCGAAATCCATGACCCTTCACTGTCCACAGTTCACTTTCTTAGCTAATAGCAATAGCTACCACTGACCAATCGACAAACACAAATTTCAGGCAGCCTTTGTGTCCGTAAATGCAATATGGAAATAAGCTTTCGATATTAAACGACTAATAGAGCAAGAAAAGGAAAGCTAAAAAGACAGCATCGAGTAAACTAACTCTCTTTAGCTTCTGTCCGTCATTTCTGATCAGCTGTTGTGCATTTAAACCATTAAACAACGGGGAGCGCGCCCGATAAATAAACAAAAAGTTACGTTCCGTTTTTGCTCGGTGATACAAAATCAGTTTCCCCAAGTTGTCATTAAACGACGTTAAACAGAAAAGCTGTAAAATAACGTGAACTGTGGTAATCTTCTTGTGATATTTGTGTGTTCTGGAAACAGCAACCAATCCCACGTCATCCGGTTCACATTCGCTCGTCATTTCCGGTTGTTTAAGACACGCGGTTCATTCTGGTTAATGACATATGTGATTACGATATAGAAAAGTATGGAGTTATTTCATTCAACTAATGGCTATAATGGTAAACTTTTATAAAAACGTTACAAAAAATTAAGTGGTTGTGTGGAAAAGCATTTTTTTTCTGATGAATTCAAACATAGCATATGGTGAATCAAAAAAACTTTCTGGATCTCTAATATTATCTGTAAAATCAGAATTGACAAGTAAACTGTACTTTAATTATATTTTTGTTTTAATTCTATTTTATTTTTATTTCTTTGGCTGTTTTTTTTGTAATAATATATAGGCCTATACTGTTGATATATATATATATATATATATATATATATATATGTCAAAATGTCAATCATGTCAATATATATATGTCAATATGTCAATCATGTTGTTCATTCTGGTTAACACTGTTATACTTGCTGGGAAACCTACATTAACAAACAGGTTCCTTATTTATTTATTTTTATAGACTTATTATGTGAAATAGAACTTAATTAAATCACTTAGATTAATTGATAATAAGAAATTGGCTTTTTTCTTGAGAAAATATGGTGAGATCTTTCATGCTACTTAAATTTTTATTTTTTATTTTTATTGCATTTTTTAATGTTTTTTATGTACTTTTTTGTTTTGCTCTTTATCCTGTTCAACAAATTTGAATATTGTGTAAAATAACTGTTCTTATGTACTGTATTCTAAGCTGTATTATACAGTTTCTTGGAATTAATAATAAAAAAGGTCCATTCTAGTTAATTATCTATGTGTGAATGATTACAATATAGAAAAGGATACAACCTATATCATTCAACTGACTTATAATGGTAAACTTTCATATAATCTTCCTTAAAATGAAGTGGTCGGTGGAAAACCTTTTTTTTCATTTCATTAATGAGTTAAAACAGTATGCTATATGAATGTGAACTAAAAAAAGCTCTCAGAAACTCTAATATTATCGGTAAATTCAAAATTGACAAGCAAACTGTTGCATCATAAAAATTTTTGTCTTCATTTTAATATATTTTTATTCCTCTGGCTGTTTTTTTTTCTCTTAACATTTCTTTCAATCTACTTAGTAGGCTTACTATTGGCATATTGTATGAAATATATATTTTTTCTTCATTTTGCAAAAAATGAACACATATTTCAAAGTTGTTTTGCCACAAAAAAAACTAAGACCAGAAATTGAAGTACCTTATATAATGTAACAGGTTAAACAAAGAGAAATGAGAGATTTGTAGAGAACATTCATTCATTTTCTTTTCGGCTTAGTCCCTTTATTAATCTGAGGTCGCCACAGGTAACTGAACCACCAACTTATCCAGCATATGTTTTACGCATGCCCTTCTAGCTGCAACCCATCACTGGGACACATCCATACATACTCATTCACACACATACACTACAGCCAATTTAACTCACCCAATTCATCTATAGTACATGTTTTTTAGACTTGTGGGTTTTCTACCTGGAGGAAACCCACGCAAACATGGGGAGAACATGCAAACTCCACACAAAAGTGCCAACTGACCCAGCCAGAGCTCGTACCAGTGATCTTCTTGCTTTGGGGCGATTGTGCTACCCACTGCACCACCGTGCTGCCTTGTAGAGAACAAATATATATAATATTATAAAATAAATAGGCTAATTACATGTAATATAATGATATAATATATAGCCTAAAGAATTCTGACTTAAAAAATAAATAAATAAATAAATGAAACTAATATACCCTTAGATTATCTCACGACTTTTCCTGTTCCTTTATAAATATTTAGTAGGTAAATATAAGTGGTAATAAATATATGTAAATTGTATTGATTTTGTATTATACAAGCTGTGCCAAAATAAAGAGTGAAGTGACGCAATAGTTTTTCTTTGATGTTACCACAAGGTGTCGATGTCGATCCAGACAAAACAGCACAGGGGTCTTCTCTCTTTGCTCACCTAAATATAGTTTTTTATTTGTTTAACCGAACTCGCATTACGTATCCGAAATAAATGTTGCATAATATGAAGTATATTAAAACGTGACAAAAAGAAGAAACCTTTATTATTGATGATAAACACGGTACATGCAAATTTCGCAGGTAAATCCCTCCCACTGGTCTACGTTTGCTGAGGCTCGCGCATTGTAAACACTTCTGTGCGATCCAATTGGACGGGGTTTGATTTCAGCCTCAGCCCCCTCCCACATACAGCTGATGTCTCTCCTCCCACTGATGATGGCCTGTCCTAAACACAAGAGAAAAACAAATGTCACTTACAAAGGGACGTAAATATTAGCGTGTGCACTCTGTTAGCGACGACTGATCTGTTCATATTTCCGCTGGCCGTTCAACCCTAGACGAAGATGGTTTCTCCTGTCACCGTGGTGAGTCTGTTACCTGTTTTCGTCATTAAATCTTCATATCAAAACATAATCGACGCGATCACTTCATAAATACAGGATATCAGTTTAGTTCTGGCATTTTATATATGCGTGTTTAGGTTTCTAAAGTGACCGTTATCATCCGAATTCGTGTATTGTTTGTAACTGGCAGCCACTTACTCCGTATAACTGTTACATCAAGCGTGATTGTTGTTTATTTGTATAATTTGTGTATACAATGATGCTTTGTGCATGTTGTACTCCTCCTGACGACAACAATCGCTGACATCACCGTTTTTAGCTATATTTTGCATCCTTCACTTGAGTCTGTTTTCTTGGGAATAACAATGAGCACGTGATTGTGGCCAGCATGCGCGCTCATGTTTACTTTACATTTATAAACCATGTGCAATATGGCCGTGTTTTGTTTAATTATTCAGACTTTCTATTGATCTACAATTAACTATGCACTGTGCAATTCGCAATGCAGTGCTGTTTTTGCATTCTCAGTATTTCCCCAATTTTCTCTGCTTTCATCTGCTTTCAAAGGGCATTATTCAGCGGAAACAACTCGTGACAAGCCTTTATTCCTCTTTTCGTATAGATGCGTTCATTATCACTGAAAAAAAACATTCTCCTATTAGCCTTTATGATTTTAAATAATGTTTTTGAATAATATGCCTATGGCATTTTAATGTGTTTATTAGTTAAACTATATGTTGCATAATTGGCAAGTTGGAGCAAGTTGTCATCTTTGTTTTGAGTATGTTTTGTTAATAACCTTTAACATACATTTTACGTAAGCTGCTTTGAGTTTCTCAGATATTTCTTTCGTAAATGCATATTATGACAACATGTCCAGTTGTTGGACCTGAATTGTTGGACTTGTTGGAATGAATTAGTATGTAAAATACATTTTAGTTGTTATTTATAAATAAAAAAAAATAATAATTTAATTAATAAATTAAACCAAAAAAAATTATAAAAATCGACACTGATTGAATTAACTGTATTTATTTTAGAGAATAAATACAAAAAAATAGAAAATAAATAATAAAAATAGGCAGCCTCAGCAAAACATAAAGTAAAATCTTCATTGAAAAATTAAAAAAAAAAACATCATAACATCTGTGTGATCATTAAAAAGTAAGTTCTATAAATACAGTTGAAGCCAGAATTATTAAACCCCCTCAATTATTTGCCCCCCCTGTGTATTTTTTCCAATTTCTGTTAAACAGAGACTTTTTTCAACATATTTCTAAACATAATATGTTAAATAACTCATCTCTAATAACTGATTTATTTTATCTTTGCCCTGATGACAGTAAATAATATTTTACTTGATATTTTTTAAGACGCATCTATACAGCCTTAAGTGAGATTGAAATGCTTAACTAGGTTAATTAGGTTAACTAGGCAGGTTAGGGTAATTAAGCAAGTTATTTTATAACGATTGTTTGTTCTGTAGACTATCAGAAGAATAGCTTAAAGGGGCTAATAATTTTAACCCTATAATGTTTTTTTTTTTAAACTGCTTTTATTTTAGCTGAAATAAAACAAATAAGACTTTTTCCAGAAAAAAAATATTATTAGACATACTGTGGAAATGTCCTTGCTCTATTAAACATCACTTGGGAAATATTTAAAAAAGAAAAAAAAAATCAAAAAGGGGCAAATAATTCTGACTTCAACTTTACTGTACTTCTGTGTGGTATAAATCCACCTTGATGTAATTGTCATTATGACATACAGCTTTAGTTTATTTATTTATTTTTATTTTTATTTTATTTTTTTTTACAATTAACTGTTTTTATTGGGTAAAATTGTCAAGCAACCCTTTATCCTATTTAGTAACTCATGACAAACAGGAAAGCAGTGAAAGGAAACTATTCCTATGGACAAAAGCAGTGTTTTGGTTTTGTCAAGAACAACTCTCTCGACCCAAAAATACTTGACAATTATCGACCCATTTCTAATTGTTATCTAAAATACTTGAAAAAATTGTCTCTATCCAGCTACAAAACTATTTATACAATAATTCCATATCAGATGTCTTTCAATCTGGATTCAAATCTCTGCATAGTACTGAATCTGCACTTTTAAAGGCTTTAAATAATGATGACTACCGATAATGGTGATACAATGGCCTTAGTGATGCTCGACTTAAGCTCTGCCTTTGATTTTTTTTTAATACAAAATACTTCTAACTCAATTCCAATCTGCACTTGGTATCTCAGACACAGTCCTTAATTGGTTCGAGTTTCTTATCAAATAGAAGCTTTTCAATGAGCCTAGGTACCTTTCTTTCTTCTCATGCAGAGCTGACTAGCGGTGTTTCACAGGGATCGGTTCTTGCACGCCAGCTATTCTTGTTATGTATGCTGCCCTTAGGAACCATAATGAGAAAGTTTGGATTTATGTATCACTGCTTTGCAGATGATACACAGCTTTATATACAGTTGATGTCAGAATTATTAGCCCCCCTGAATTATTAGCTCACCTGTTTATTTTTCCTCAATTTCTGGTTCACGGAGAGACGATTTTTTCAACACACTTCTAAAAGTAATAGTTTTAATAATTCATTTCTAATAACTGATTTATTTTATCTTTGCCATGATGACAGTAAATTATATTTGACTAGATATTTTTCAAGACACTTCTATACAGCTTAATGTGACATTTAAAGGCTTAACTAGGTTAACTAGGCAGGTTATGGTATATAGGCAAATTTCTGTATAACAATGTTTTGTTCTGTAGACTATCGAATAAAATTATATCTTAAAGGGGCTAACAATTTTGACCCTAAAATGTTTTTTTTTTTTTTAATAAAATCTGGTTTTATTCTAGCCGAAATTAGACTTTCTTCAGAGGATCAGACATACTGCGAAAAAATTCCTTGCTCTGTTAAACATAATCTAGAAAATATTAAAAAAAGAAAAACAATTAAAAGGGGGGCTAATAATTATGACTTCAACTGTACCTATCTAAAAAAATATTGCTTAACCCTCAAGAGATTAGAAGATTGTCTTCGCGAAATCAAACTCTGGCTCACAGATACAGTAACTTAGGCTTTTGAATGAAGATAAAACCTGAGTTAATATTTTTTTGGATCTCCACAGCATTCTAGCAAACCACCTACCGATCTCGGTGTATTAAACTGTTACCTCACCTTTGAAGTTAAAAAACTTTTCTACTAGACAGTAGGCTAAAACTTGCCAAACAAATAAGTAAAATAGTAAGTTCAAGTTTTTATTATCTATGATAACTAGCCAAAGTGAAACCCTTCCTATACAGATTAGGTTATTGTAATTCCTTATATATTAGGGATGTAACGGTATCAGAATTTCACGGTACAATTATACCTCGGTATGAATGGCACGGTACGGTATTTATTGAATAACTTACAGGAAAAACAAAACTAATGAAAAGACTCAAAAAAAGTGCCAAAAGTGTTTATTTACCTTAGCACTGAACATATCAATGACATACAAATTAGCCATCTATCTGAAAGTTTCGAAACAGGAACTTCAATTTTTCAATTTTAATAACAAAAAACTATTAAACCATATATAAAAAAAGAGTTTCAATTTAGTATTGTTGAAAACTCATCACATTCAACATTTAATCACTCAGTCACTTAGATAGAGATGGGTTTTTTAAGGAAAATTATCATATAACTATAACCTGGTAAAAGCTGGGATCTCTGGGCATTTACAATGTCCCCTGCAACAGAAAAAAAAAAAAACATTTGGGACTGAGGTTTCTGGAACAGAGAGATATGATTTAGCCAAGGTTGACAGCAGTGGGTAACATTGTGCATTGTCTTTCCACCACTTGAGAGGACAAGCCATGAGTGAGATAGAGGTCTCTTTGCGGTACAAGTCAATGTCTGCATCAATTTAACAAGTGTGCTGTGTTCTGCAGTCCCCATGACTGTTTTTAGTCGTATTCCCTGACTTATATTTTACCACAGTCTGGCAGTGCCTGCATACTGTTTTTCTCTGTCACCTTTTCTCCTTTTTTGTATCTTTTTAGAAAGAAACCGAAATGCTTCCACACATCCAATTTAAAACCCGCTTTAGGTTCGATCATTTCCAGCTCTTTTTCTTCCCCGCTACTAGCAGCACACTCCATTTCCGCATTACTGGATCTGTAGTAACAACAGACCGCAAAGGATAATGGCCACGCCTAGGCTAATGGGAATTGTAGTTCCCGCTACCTCCCGTTCGCTTCATTTGCCTAATTAAACTTTTCTCAGAAATATAGTTTTATTGAGTCATGCGCCTACGGTAATATTGAGAAAAATTACTATTGCGGTATGATGGTATTTACAATATTGTTACATGCCTATTATATATTGGTCTACCTTTATCTTCTATTTCAAGGCTTCAAATGGTACAAAATGCGGCTGCAATTTTCTCATGTGTAGCCACAAATATGACCATATCACACCAAAATTTCGATCACTACTTTGGTTGCCGGATTATTTTCGAATAGACTATAAAATTTTACTCTTTGTTTATAAAACCTTATTTGTAATTGTTATAAAACTTTTTGATCTGATCACTACTAAGGCCCAAACCCGCTTAGATCAAATTCCCACTGCGATTTATTGCAAATACTTCAATCTCTAAATGCAGGGGCGATAGCGTTTTTGCAGTTGTGGGACCGAAACTGTGGAATAAGTTACCATTAAAAATCAGAATAGCAGCCACTCTATCTGTTTTTAAATCGATGTTAAAGACTCATCTTTTTCCTAGTGCATTTAATATTTTCTAATGACAGTTCCAGGCTAAATTAAATTGCTTTTTCTTGGAAACTTTTATTCTTGTTACTGTTGTTTTATATTGTTGTTTTTATTGTAGTGTGTTGCTGTTTTGTACCTGCTTCAGCTGTTGTACAGCTCCTCAGTCGACCAAACGTTGTAATTAAGTGTGCTCTAGAAATAAACTTTGATTTGATTTGAGGGATTTGGGAGAGAAAAAGATTAGGAATCATTTGATTTTCAGTGATTAACAGTTTCCTTGTAAAAGTCCTACCTGCATAGTGGTAGTTGTATCATCCAGAAAGCTTTACTAACTTATTTAAAGCGCTAAGCATGCTTTCGTTCTAAAGAGATCATGCTGCCTACCATCTCTTCCCCTTAGTTGGCTTGAAATCAGAAACACTTGTTTCGCAGTGTCTCTAAATTTCAGTTTGACCTTTCTCAGACTGCTGGATACAGCAGAATCTGATTAAAATATACACTTGCTAACAATAGCCTTTTTCCACTTCCCCCACGGGCAAAGACTCCAACTACAAATTCCAAGACTAAGCCAAGACCAACTGACATGGACAAAGAAAAAGTTTAGGGGCAAGAAAAAATATTAATTAATTTTTTTTGTTGGACATTGTAGTAGTTATACATAAATAATATTACATGTTTTGTGTACTTCGTTTAATAAATTCAGCGTTTATTTTTACTATTAAGCATGTTTTAAATTGAAACTGTAGTGCAAAATCACCCAATTAAGTCTTCTGGAATTCATTTTGTGATACCGTCATTGTCCAATCAGAAGATAGCATTTTAGATACAAAATCCCAACCCAGGCTAATCGGAAACATGTGCCTCAGCTTAAATGTTAAAATACATTGCTCCGGATACATTTCATTGCACTTTCAGATGACAAGAACATCTGTTTGTGCTGTTTACAATTTAGCGAATCAGAAATTTGTACTTTTTTGTTATACATTTCAGACACACATCCTTCTTATATGTTCACAATAAGGTAGGACTTGTACAGATTACCTAGTGAAGCATGATCTAAACCCTTTCCTTAACCCAACTAATAGTGTATTCCAAAGCAAAGAAGAGAAAAGTGTACTGCAACTAAGTAGGTTATATGGAGATATAGAGGTTAAGCAAACTTATTTGATTACAAGTCATAGACATTTTTAAGTTCTGGATGAACATAATCCTTTATTCATCTTAATATGAACCTATTCCTTTATATGAACCTATTCATTAATGTGAACAAAAGTTGTTGGCATCATATTGTCCCATAAGGTTTCGTTTCACAAAAAAGGCTGAAGCACAGATTTCCAATGAACCTGTGTTGAGATATCCAATTCTTCCTGACCTAGATGGAACAGTAAACCTTGACATATTAATCTTTGGTTTGATTTACTGCTTAGATATAGAATCTTTCATTTTTTTTATTCATAATATCACAATTCCAAAAAAAGGTATCACATTTCTCGTTGGATAGTGTTGTATTTCACTTCCAATTGTTAACTTTATACAAGAGAAGTCCTACAGTCTTTTTGACTCACATGATGGCATTTTACTTCCCATGAAAACAACTTCAGTCTCTTTTTTGTCCTACAGGTCAAGAGTGAGGGTCCAAAGCTTGTTCCGTTCTTCAAAGCTACTTGTGTCTACTTTGTTCTATGGCTGCCCACCTCGAGTCCCTCCTGGTTCAGTGCCCTCATCAAGTGTCTCCCCATCTTCTGCCTTTGGGTTTTCCTGCTAGCTCATGGCATCAACTTTTTAGGTGCCCACTCCAGTGCCAGGAAAATCCTGGCAGGACTTATTTTTTCAGCTTTGGGTGACGCATTTCTCATCTGGCAAGAACAAGGCTACTTCAGTCACGGTGAGTTAATTCATTTGTGTTGCTTTGATTTGATTAGTAAAGAATTAAGAATTATTTGCCATGGAACTTGATAAGAAGGCATGTATCATTGGTAGAATGTAAATAAGTTTGTTAATCTTATTTTTGACTTCTTGCACTTCTAAATTCTAGTTAAGTGATTTCATGCTAATTGTTATAAGCAGAATGGTCTTTATTCTAAAGTAGAAAGTTTTATATTATAACTGAACTGTCATGCCTGATTCAGCAGCTCTTGTACTGAGAAAGCAGTGTAAAGGTTGAATGAGCTTTTTAGGTCAGGGTTGAGGGTTGGAACAAACCATTCAGGCCGAAGATACCCTTGGGAACCATGCAGAGTTACTCGAGCAAAGTTTCCTTTAGAACAAACGACCATGCTTTACCAATACTAACATGTTTTCTGCATGATTTTGTACAAAATACATTTATGTTAAATGTTTATTTTGGGAAATAGGCTATTTGTACAACTGCCCTAGAGTCATACAGTTGAGTTTTACCATTTTTGAATTCATTCAGCCGATCTCCAAGTCTAGTGGGACTTTAAAGGGGGAATTAATATATACAGGGTGGACCATTCGTATGAAGACACCTTAATAAAATGGGGAATGGTTGGTGATACTAACGTCCTGTTTGTGGCACATTAGTATATGTGAGGGGGCAAACTTTTCAAGATGGGTGGTGTCCATGGTGGTCATTTTAAAGTTGGCCATCTTGGATCCAACTTTTGTTTTTTAAATAGGAAGAGGGTCATTTAACACATCAAACTTATTGGGAATTTCACAAGAAAAAACAATAGTGTAATTGGTTTTAACATAGCTTTACTATTTTAAGAGTTATGTACAAGTTATTGACCACTTATAAAATGTGCTCAATGTGCTGCCCATTGTGTTGGATTGTCAATGCAACCCTCTTCTCCCACCCTTCACACACTGATAGCAACACCGCAGGAGAAATGCCAGCACAGGCTTCTAGTATCCGTAGTTTAAGGTGCTGCACACCTTGTATCTTCACACCAACTTCAAAATGGCCACCATGGTCATGACCCATCGTGAAAAGCTTGCCCCCTCACATATACTAATGTGCCACAAACAGGACGTTAATATCACCAACCATTCCCATTTTATTAAGGTGTATCCATATAAATGGTCCACCCTGTATATTTATTCAAATTTTCTTTTTTTTCCCTTTCAATTACCAATCATTTGATGCGCTTTGGTCCACACTCTGTATTACGCTGCCTGACTGCCTGTCTGGGTTTCAACCATGGTTTTAACAAGGTCCGGTGCTGACGTAATGGGGCGGGTACTTTCACTTTTCACTACTACAGCCTCTCACCTCTTTTTGTGTTCAAACCAAACTAAGGCAGGTTTTTTCACATGGCAGGTTTACGTGCTTCATACATGTTGAGAGATCAATTGATCGACTTGAAAAGAGAATATGTCTTGACGAGTGCTTAATTTGTAAATTGTGAGATCCCAGAACAGATCAAGGAAAAACAGATCCGGCATGTTACCAGAGGAAGGAGAGGTGTTGCGGATGAAAGTGAAGAGCGGGTGGGGGGGTGATGGGGAGTCACGGACGAAGAGGGTTGGGGAATCGTGGAAGACAGTAGCTTTGTTTCCATCCAAAAATGCAAATGAACTTTGTGCGCAAAACTGGATTTTTATCCAACGAGTCAAAGTGAACTAAATCGTCACTTCCTGATTAACTGGCGCCAAATATCAACAGTAAAAACGGAATTTGATGCAGAAGAAGAAGCTGCGTCAATCTTTTCTTCATCTAATAAATGACTTGCGCCTTAGAGGACAATCCTGACACGCAGTGAACGCACTGTGGCGTTTAAAGGTGTGAGATGCGGAGCACACTCTTGATTCTGTAGGTCATTAATAATATAATAACACTAATACTTAAACGGTAAGACATTTTAGAATGACCAAAACAACAGTTCAGATGGTTTACAGTGTGCTCAGCCTGCTGCTTTGTCCATGTGATTATGAAAATGTGTGTAAATGATCTTTTATCACAAAATCACATGACCTTTTTTAATGCGCCTACTGAAATTTGTGCGGTAAAAGTGTTTCCATTGTAGTTTATGCGCATCTTTTCTTAACGAATAAACAGTTTATCCTACTCAGTTATGCGCATATGTTTTTTATGCGCATTTTTAAAATTCATGTGCATCATGCAGTTTCAATTAGCCATCGTTTATGCGCGTATGCCAATTGCTCAGAAAAATAGGTGGATGGAAACATAGCTAGTGAAGAGCGTGGGTTCGTGTGAGGAGGGGGATCGATAAAGTGAGGTGCTGGATCAGATTTCAAAGGTGCCGGTTCCAGGCACAAATTAAGCCCTGAGCCCGGTTTTTTAAAAGTAATCCACTAGGATTTTGGATAAGGGATTGGATCAAATCTTAAAAAATGGGTTTTTCAAAAGAAATAACAGATTACATAATCGGATTAGATCACGTAATCTGATCAAACCTTTCATTTGGGTTTTTCAGACTTTTTTTGTAGGATTTGGATCACTTTGATCCAAAAAACCTGGATTAAACTGATCCCATCAGAAGGGTGGATTCAGTGTGGATTCCATGCCCAAAATGTAATGAAAGCTTAAGAAATTTATCAAATAATACTATATTGATCAAATTGATCCAATACAATGTTGCCTTGAAAAATTGGCTCTAAAAGTAAGCTGGATTAAGTGATCATGGATTGCAAGAAAAGGATTACTAAATCCAGATAAATTTTATCTGAATTAAATCTTTTGAAAAATTGGGCCATGGTCTTGACATAATCCACCAAGACGTGACTTAGTAAAGCATGAAGTCATGTAAGACTTTATTCGTTGCATTAGTCTGTATGTAAATCACCTCGTCAGGCAGTGCTGGAGTAGCGTGAGAGTGGACCATAGTGCATCAAACAAAAGGTATTGAAATAAGAAAAATACACAACTTAAGTGCTTGTATTTGTTGTATTTGCACAAGCTGTGCGATGCGCGTCCACAACCTCATGCATTGGGTTAAATTAGACTGTCCAGTTTCTTTGTTCAGTCCGTTACTACCATGCTTGAAACACAGACAGGCCAGTCAGGCAGCTCCACATCCACAACTTCACACATTGTGTTAAATTAGGTTTTATAGTCTGCTTGTTCAGTCTATTACTTCTACTGGATCTGTTCAGCTGAGGGAACAGAACCAACCCTGTGACGTCAGACACAGCGTCATTCTAAGATGGCAGTGCCCTAGGTCTAAAAGCTATAGTAAAACATGTCATTTTCTGCTAAATGGTTACATTAATCAAGTTTGTTATATATATATATATATATATATATATATATATATATATATATATATATATATATATATATATATATATATATATATTTCTATTAAAGTGGAATCCAGTGTTCAAAAAATGTAAACTTTACTGAATTCCCCTTTAATCGCATAAGCTCATTAGCATCTTGCTTAGAAAATTAAAAAATGAGTGTTAATAATTTTCTTATTTGAAGTTGGAATGAAATCTAAATTTACTCTTATTTTTATTAATGTAAACAGTAGTAGTGCTTGTTATAAACGATGTATCTGTGCGCGTCATTATTTTGTAAAAGTTTATTTGCTCTCACAGGACTCAAGAATAAGGACGTCCCGATGGCCCAGGGTCAGCATGCGAGATGCTCAGGACAGCAGACAGGATCATTACTGGCCTGATCTGGTTTAACTTGGCTCTGACTGTTTGTCAATTGCGTGCAAATACAGTCTTGGGGTGCTTTTACACCTAGATGTTTGTTTCGGAACCTGTCTCGTTTGCAAAGTTAGTGCGGTTCGTTTGGCATATTTGAATCCTGCAATCGCGCTCTGATCTGCGCCAAAACAATCGGTCCGAGATTGCCTGAATGAGGTGGTCTCGGCTGAACTGAAACAAACTCTAGTTATATTGACCTTTGGTCTTAGTACACAATGTAACTACAGGAGAGTCAGGCTTTAAATAGGAAATTCATCTAAACTTTTTTATTTTTGATGAAATGCTAATGGTCTAAATCTAGTACCCCTGCCAGACCTGGAAGTCAGCTATATGGCTTTGAAAATGTCAATTTAACTCTAGGGGAGTTGTAAAAGTGGTGTGAAAAGTGGTTTAAATTCATGAATTCAGAGGCGTCCACTTCTGCTTCTGGAGACCTTTCTGCAGAGTTCAACTTTAACCCAAATTAGGCATGTGAACAAGCTATACATGGCATTTAAGATTACTTGAATTGTTGGAGCTAATCTCTGCAGGAAGGATCCTACAGAAAAAAAGGACTGGATACCTTTGCTTTAATTTTGATAAATGCTCAGTTTGACTGTTTTTTGCCTTGACAGGATTGCTTATGTTCGCCATCACCCACATTCTCTACTCTTCAGCCTTCGGGATGAAGCCTCTCAACTCGAGAGCAGGTCTGATCATTGCTGTCATCTCAGGTTTCAGCTATACCCTCCTTTACCCCTACCTCTCTGGTCCGTTTACCTACTTGGTGGCTGTTTACATTGCCCTAATCGGCTTCATGGGCTGGAGGGCAATTGCTGGAGTTCAGTTCGCAAATGACCTCTGGACCTGGACAAAACTGTCAGCCTGCCTGGGTGCCGTCCTCTTCATGGTCTCCGACCTCACCATTGCTGTCAACAAGTTCTGCTTTCCAGTTCCACACTCTAGAGCCATCATAATGGCAACCTACTATGCGGCACAGATGTTGATCGCACTTTCAGCAGTGGAATGCCAAGATGCTGATACATCTTGGAAAAGTGCCTGAGGAGCCACACATTAATCAACCTTCCCCTAGTGACTCAGCATTATTAAAAGCTGCACAGGTTCAAGTATCACTTCCTGAATCCCCTAGTCCCTCCACAATCCCCCCTGTCTAAACAAGTCTGGAACATATAGGTTACTATTGACCAGTTATTGTAGACCGATGCGGGAATTTATGCTGGATTCATGTACAGGCTTGCATAGTCTTGATCTTCAGCTTCATGACTTAGGTATTCTCCATAATTCTGTGTTGAAATACTGCCTTTGGTCCTTTCATTCCTGTAGTGGTTGTAGTACTATCATTTTTGGTATCTTAAAAGAAGAGACTTTTTTAATACTAGATCCAAAATACTCAGTTTTTATGCAACTCACTTTACTTCCGGACTGAATAGGTTTTTCATTACAACTCAAACCATCTGTCCACTGCAGATAGTTCTTTATGGCTTGTACTGTGAACAATGAAATTCTTGAGTGACTAGTGTTTATCAGGCCCACAGAATGGGCCGTCAAATAATTCAAGTGTATAGGGAGCTGGTTTCTTGTCATTTCATACTAAATATATTAGCATAGTGGGTTGCTATACCGAAAATCAACGCACAATTTATTTGTAGTAGTATTGTGTGATAAACCTTTCGTTTATCCTGTGTCATTTTTTCATGGCTTAACACACAATCCTCCATGCATCCATATAAATTTGCTGGACTAGTGGCTGGACTTAGTGTCTTTTCAAGCCCAACTGACTGCAACCAATGTTCACTTTGTCTCTAGAGTAGAGAAATCCCATATTTTATAAGTGTTGAGACGTGACCAATGCTAATATGAAAAGACAGGTCACTCTCATACAAAGGGAAGTCGTTCTCTTGTTGAGTTTATTCAGTGTCTGTGTCTGTTATCGTTTTCTTAGGTTTCTGCCAAGTCAGCAGCATAGCTCCTTTCTGCCACAAGTCACACTTTTTATTTTCTCTTGTGTAGTATCATATGATGTTTGTGAAGAGGGTGGAATGTCAAGTTATACGCATGTATCAAGCTTCCATTCACTTTTATTTGTCTTTTGCCAGTAGGAAACCTGTCGGTTTAAAGTCCTGTGGAAAGTGAAAAGTCCTGTGTTTTATCTGAAACCAGTAGTTTGTTGTTATGTTTGACTATTTTCTCATCTCATTTGAATTATGACTGAGTGAAATATTCACAAGTGTGTGGATATTTCACGGTGCAGTTTTCTTTTTCGCATTCGGTACTGTGCAGTATGTGCTGAATTAGGTGAATCACATAATAGGCTGAAAAAGTATTTTGCTTTCAATATATAATATTATTTTCTTTGACATTTAGGACACAACATAGAAAGTTTCTTGACTGGCTTTTTGATATTCTTTAATTTAAGCAAACAGCACATGTATTCTGTTTATTGAAACTGATCATTGTCTTTATATAATAATCTAAAAAAAAGGGATCATCAGCTCGTTTGCTGATAAAAAATGAGGGAACCTGTGATGAAAAGTCCTGCTTGTTCTGATATGTACTCAGCTGTTTGTACCCTCAGGTGTGAGGGGATATGAGCGTTGAATACAAACACAGCTGACCACTCACAGTGGTCCATTTTTAAACTAGACAGCATCCTTAACCTGGGATACAGAGGATAGCAGCATTCAGCGGTGGGCAGTAATGTATTCTTTTCTTTATTTCCTTAGTAATTTTTTATATTATGTTTAGAAAAGACCAGAAAATTCCTTTCTTTCTAAATAGTTTTATTTAACAGAATAAATTAATAGTCCTTCAGAAGTAAAACAAACCAAAAATGCCTTGAATTATCACATTAAATTAAACATGGTGTCTACCCTACTCTATGGCACATGCGTCCTGCGTGCTGTTATGCACATAAATGGCATTGTTTCTATTAACACAAACACACATTGAACTGCTGATCCCTCGAGAAGCAGCTTGCCTATTTTGTCACATTTGCTTAATGCCAAGTATTATAGGTTCCCTATTCAGGGGTGACTCTGTCAGCAAAATGTTCCAGCTTAGTTTGAAAAACCATCTGTGATTTGCAAGGTCATTAAAACATGTCTCTTTAGGGCCGTTGAGTGTCACGCTACAAATCAGTAATGTTGTCAAGGCCTGCAGTGGAGCAAAATTTGAAGTGAAATAATATTTGAATCATTGTTTTGATACAATTAAAGTTACTTCGTACAGAGAAAGACTGTAGATTTAAATCATTATTCCTCTTCAATGCTTAAGCATTTCTTTTCTCTTTTGTTTACGACCTGCTGTCACCTAACAGATGGTTAGAATTCGACCTCGCGTGCTCGTTTCCTTCTCTTTTGTGTAATTGCAAACTCCATAGGGGAGAACAGGTACCTTCTGTTTCCATCGCTGAAATGCTGTCTGTTGAGGAGTGTGGAGATAGTCACTGGCACGGGGGAAGATTTCCTTTCCATCTGGCTTTGCTTTACCTCGCGACCTCATTCAAATAGCAATGAGCATGATCGTTTTACCCCCTCTGTCAGCACTCGGGTGTTTGATGCTTTTGTGTTGAGTTAAGGGGGGTGAAACAGAATGCTGGGTGTTCAGTGTATTCAGTATTGATGACAGTGTTTAGGTATAGCAGCCCTGTTGTTAAAGATAATGAGGAAAAACCAACCTGATCTCTTAAGGAAACGTAACTATTTTAAGTTTTTTTGTTAGTTTAATGGCTAATTCGTATAAAATCGTACAAGTTCAGTTGTACGAAAATGTACCACTTTAAAAAGGAGGCGTGGCACCCAACCCCACCCCTAAACCACATCGCTATTGGAGGATAAGCAAATCGTACTAAATTGCATGAATGAAATCATACGAATTAGCCACTAAATCAAAAAGTTAGGAATTGCCGTGAGGTTGTTGTAAAAACCTACTTGGTTCATTGAGGAATGCACATTTTATTTTTATTCGAATCTTTTTATCACTTTCTTTATTCTGTTTTTGAGCTTGAGGACTGAAACATACCCTAAACAAATGCCAAACCCTAGTTTTGTGTGTAACTACACAACTGAAGTCAATCTTATGGATCATTTCCACTACACAGTACAATTCAGCGCAGTATATGGCAGTGGTCTTCATTTTTATTACCGCAAACCGGTCATCGCTTGACTATTTTACCGCAGACCAGGGGGAGGGGTGGGCTGTGGTGGTTCATAGGTTGCTTGGAGACCATTAACCGTTTTCTCGTTTTCTCTGAGGATGACAAGCTGACAAAACATTTGCTGTCACTCTGATACAAAAAAATTACAAAGCACTGCAGTGTTTGGGTGTTTTGTGTTTGTCTACCGAAATGTGGATATTCCATACAAGCTGAAGCTGATCGGTCAGTTCTTGTCACGTGACTTGCGGTAGGCTCTCAAGATTCGTTCAACTGGGTTGCGTGCAAGCCAGTCCACCTCCATTGGTAATAATGAACTTGCTCAAACTCTAGAAAAGATGCGATAAGCGAACAGACGCCGTTTGCAATCTCCAGCAGTTGATCTTCCTGCACAGACATGGTGGAATTACCTGATTTGTTGGCAAATGGGTTGTGAATCCATTCCTTGGCAGTTTGCGAGTCCTTTACCGGGCCTTTCCCCCTTAGCAAACTTAGTCTAAAGACGTCTGTTTGTTACTTATTTTGCTGCTTGTGGGTTAAATTTTGGTGCTCAAGTGACCGAGATGTAAGCGAGAGATGCTCATATTTCAAAATAAAAGATTTTTCAAAATAAAAGATTGTTTATGCACAAATAATAAAATGGAAATAATTAATGATTTCTTTTGCGGCCTGCTACCAATTGATCCACGGACCGCTTTTATAAGTGATGTCTTTATTCCTGTTTATACTGTCAGGAATACCAAAATACTATATCACTTTCTTGGGATGCTTTTGTAATGGCACCTAACACAACAGTATGGTACCAAAAGGGTTTGCTGATTAACGCTATTGGTATTGTCACTTACGTATACAACAAGCCAGAGGAACTACAACACAGTAAAGCACTATTTTTAATTAAACATCTTGAAATACAGGGCGGCTCAGTGGTTAGCACTGTCGCCTCACAGCAAAAAGGTCGCTGGTTCAAGTCCAGGCTGGGCCATCTGGCATTTCTGAAGTTGAAATGTTGCAGATTGTGGCTGGAAGGACATCCGCTGCGTAAAGCATATGCTGGAATAGTTGGTGGTTCATTCCGCTGTGGCAACCTCTGATAAATCAGAGACTAAGCTGAAGTAAAACGAATGAATGAATGAACAATACAATTACGACATGCAGCAATGAATCAAGAAGCAAGAGCAGGACCTTCTGTATGTCCACCATTGTTGTTTTGAGGCTGTTCATGTTGCGTCTAAATATGTTGAAAGCGTGCTAGGTGCCTTTCAACTCTCGATCGAAAGTACATTTGAAATAATAAACTTGATATAAGTGAATGGTCTGTTTAGCTTACTTTTTCGAGTGAGAATTACATCGATCGCTACTTTCTGGTGTATAGCATGCCAACCAAGTAAGGGTTCCATTAGCAGTGGAAACGCAAGACTGATCAGGATGAAATGAGGCATTAGGCCATTGGTGTCAAGGTCAATGCCTGGATGACCTCAGCTCTGCACAGTTTTGCTTCAACCCTAATCAAACACAGCTGGTGCAACTAATCAAGGTGTTCAAGATTCTTTTGAACACCTCGATTATTTGGATCAGCAGTGTTTGATTAGGTTGGGAGCAAAACTATGCAGAGCTGCTGCCCTCCAGGAATTGACCTTGACACCAATGGCCTAATGCCTCATTTCATCTGTGGTACAATTCAGCCCTCCAGGAATTGAATTTGACACAAATTCATTAGGCAATGCTTTCTTCTGGCATTTACATGTAATTTTACTGACCATTCTAAAGTGGTCAAGCAAGTAGCAGTGCCCTTTATACATGGTATTACCATGCATCCACATGTGTTTGGATTCTCTCAAGACCTGTCTGTATGATTTTGTCACTTTTATATAAGCGTTCTATTTAGTGCTACTAAATGAACTACTACATTTCACATGGCTCATGAATGAGAATGAAATTAAATTAAATAAATTGTTGATGATTGTAATTCAGGTGTTTTTGTACAATGCAACAAAGTATGAATATATTGCTTGGTGGGCAATTGCAAAGTAATCAAGTAGATTTTTACCCATTTTTGAAGCAGCTGAAAGTGGAGAAGTTAGACTATGTATACACCAGCATCGAGTGTAGTCTACTTGTAATTGGACTAAAGAAAAATCGTAACGCAGAGTGTAAATTGAGCTATTAAGTTCAAATTTATTAAAGCCCCTATTTTTTTTTATTAGAGCCGTATTTTTCCATATAAAATGTCATATTTCGGTTTTAGGGGTCTCCAACAACATGCTGATATGTGTGCAAGGTCAAAAAACACTTTCATTTTCTTATAAAAAGCGTTTATTTTTACCTAATTATCCTAGTGACTCCCATATGAATCGTTCAGTGATTCATTTGTTCCCAAACCCCTCCTTAGCGCAAAGCTAATTTGCGGTGATTGGTCCAATGACCCAGTCTGTTGTAATTGGTCGTCTGCGTTCAGCACAAGAAAGAGAG